GATAGTTTGTCTGCTGGTGTTACATGCAACGGCTCCCTTTGCTTTCCCCAAAGGAAACACCAACCAAAATGGGGCTCCAAACAAAAACAGGGGCACCCACGTTTCACAGCGCTTCAACGAGAACCTGAACTCATCTGGTAAAACGAGATCTCCTTTGCCATAGCTGGGATCCCCACTTTGAGGTCTGATTGTGCAGTGTAGGGGTACCTTCCATTTCCATTCTGAACCCAGGGGCCCTTCTTTTCAGGACACCAGCCAAAAACCCAGGGGAAACAGCCGGTTTCCAAAAAAAAGAACGGTGGTTGAAGATCATGGGGAATCAACCCCCAGAAGTTTGCGCACTTGCACGTTTTGACGGGACAATGTTCCAATGCACGAGCTTGGATTTGACGACCTGCTCTCAGATTTCCGCGCCTCGATTCCCGGGGGGGGACCCACATTTGCAGCAGCAAAGCCAGACCTTGGCGTCCGCCGTTAGGCGGCTACATGGTCTTGAACGACTATCCGGAGCCGTGCGTTTCCGCTCGCTGTACACGCCTAAATTTCCGTCTATGGAAATTTAGGCGGTTGTGGGCTGTGTTCAGGTGATGACCAAGGGAGTCGCTTTTCAACTGATCAACTAGTGCTGGGGAATTCCCACTTTGGTATCACAGAAAAGGTTACCTGGAACCTGAAACTACCCTGAAACATGGGATATTGCTCACAATTATGGTGTGATATCTCCTTTTCATGGAGAGTTAGGTTAAGGGTCCAGGTACATTCCACAACCGCCGTCCTGCGATTGTTTTCTTCGTTCTGGGGATCCGGGACCTGCAAATCAGCTAGGCCGATTGATATACTGGTTTCAATCGGGATGTATGTGGTTTAAGGTTTCCTTTGGGTTCCTGTTAATAAGACAACCCCAAAGGGGTTACCAAAGCACACACACACACACAACACTTTGAATATCCCCCTTCGCCCTTTGGGTTGACATGTCTCCAAGAGCTTTGCCGGGTCCAACTAGATTTTTGCCCGGTTGCAGAAGCTTGGTTCGATCCCGGAATCTGATTGGGTTCCAACTTGGGATGCCAAGTGTGCCATGTTGCTTGCGAGGCATCGGAAGCTCGCCGTAGTTTCATCTCTGAGGGTCGGAACACGGAATGGGGAGCTCGCAGGAAGGGGGTGGAGAAGCGAGTGGACACTTACCTGGGTCGGGAAATCTCCAGAAAGAGCGCATTCTTGGTTGGTGTCGCACATCGGACGTGGATTTTTTTTTCCCCCGAATCCCGTCGGCTTACGTTGGAGGGTAGCGGCACAATCGGCACAAGATCCACCTTTCAGCTGGCGGGAGAAACACGCGTGCAATCCTTTTTGGGAACCCCCCCCCCTGCCATGGACACCTAGAATCTATTCTTCAACCAAGAGCCCAAAAAAAACAATACTCTAAAGAAGGAGGTTGCAAAATAGGCCCTAAGTGACCGAAACCCTATCAGCTCATAGTGGACCCTATGAGTCGCTAGCCCCTACGCAGATTGCGGGGCCCTTGACAACCATAGGACCCCTGTCACTTGCGCAGGAAAGAGGGTATGATTAAACAGCTCCAGCCAGGAGATCCTTTGCGATACGGAGTTGCAGGCTTCGCTCAGGCGCGGAGATGTCCTGGGTGTCCTGGGTTTTGCGTTTGAAATCCTGAAAAGATACTTCCCAAAAGGCGCAGGTCAGATTTCGGGGTGATGATTCAAGAAGAAAACGGCGCCCTGCACTTTCAAGCTGTTCTTTTGGGGTTTCCTTTGAGGCAAACACGCGGCTTTGGGCTTTGGCCAAAGAAATGCAACGGGTACCCGAGGGTTCCTTGCCCCTAAAAGAAAGGCCTTGGGACCCCATCTGGATGACAATCCTTAGGTCAAGAATCGAGGTTATATGAACCCAAGCATTGTTTTGGTGGTTTGAACCGCTCAAGAATAGTTGGTTTGGCATGGCCAACCCCTTAATCAGAACAAAACAGGGCTTTTCCGGTTTCTACCAGGACCACGAGTAGACGAGTGGCCTCCGGGGTTTTCTGAGTGAACAAGTCATGGGGATGGGAGTCCAGCCACATGTGTCTTAGGGAAGCTCGGAGCCCGGAAGCTTGACACATCGGTTTTGGCTGACTTGGTTTATCCCTCGGGTTTGTGGGAACATGGGACCCCTTTTGGTTGGTAAAGCACCAAGAGGAAAGCCACATTTATGTGCCACACCTCTTCCGCTAGGTGCAGTTTGAGGGAGGTTGGCATTGTGAGCAATTCCACTCTCCGCAGGCGCAAAGGTTCCGCCGGAACTTCAAAGATGACCCTCCGCGAAACTTTTGCCTATGTAAATATACACACACTAAATGGGTGTATGTGTCCAACAAGTTGGCCAAATACTTTGCTACAGGTAAAAACAGGTAAAGCTCACTAGATATTTTGAAGGCGTCCCCTGGATGCCACCCATAGACGCTGCAACCGATCGCTTGCGCCTCCAGTTCACCGACGACCTTCGCGGTGGCCTTGTTTGCGCTGCCGGTGATAAAAGTCGGAGGCTCAGTTCGGGTCAGTTTGAGGCAGGGGTCGTTCCAGTTTTTGACGAAAGGTAGACGTAAACCCAGAGGTTTCCCTTTGGGGAAATCAAGCACTTTCTGGGTTTAAAATTGTATCTTGGGAAAATCAATCACTCAGGGAACAGTGCCTGTTTCTGGCATATAATATTCAGACTGGGTTGGATACCGAAAGTTGTGTTTTCACGGATTTGAACCATATAGGACAACCGCTCAAGGGCAAGCCGATCAGTAATTCCTGCCTCAGCCCCGGCCCTGAAGGTCTTTATGTTGCATCCTTTGGCTGCAAAGAAGCCCCAGTCATTCCGTTCAAGAGAGCGGGACGGACGCTCGTCTAGGACCACAGTGCAGGGGTTAGACATCTGTTGGCGGGTATTGAGGGGAAGGGCCAGCAGGCAATGGTACACTCGAGAAACTTTCCACGACTTTTGTCATGTTCCAGAGAATCATACCCGCCTATAAGCCACATACCACAACTGGGTTGTTTTTAGCAAGTCTGGGGGCTCCTGTTTTTCTTTTTCCTGGGCTCAGGAGGTTTTTGCCGCAACTGGCAACTCTTGGCTCACTGCCCCCCCTTGCAGGAGAGCAGCAAAGTTCTGGCGATTTGCCAGCGAGCACGTTCCCACAAAGAACTGGAATACATAGCAGAGGCACTCACGTCCAGCATGATCTCCGAGGGCAACAGTGACCCACCAAGCAAATCTCAACTCATGTCCAAGACGGGCGACATTGCTGTGCAGTCTTTCCTCCGCAAGCTTGGTGTCCACCGGCTGAAAGCATTTCCAGGCGACGTGAGCAATGAGAACCAGAAGCTGCTGCTTAAACGCGCCACACGTTGCCTCTCATCACCTCTGGGATGGGGGAAGGAGTTCCCCAAATCTGGCGGAGATTTTGCGTGGCTTGCAGGGCTGCCACCGCATTGCTCGGAATGCCTCCACTTCTTTCGCCTCCTCAAGTTTCCTTGTGAAAGGCTGCATTGATTTCAACAATTCCAATTGCCCTCGTCAATGCATGACAAAATGAACTCCATTCCGGGCAAAACTTCAATGACCTCAAGGGGGTTTACGACCTCATGGTGATTCTCGTTTGCCATAGTAGATTTTGAGCCCATTCTGCAAATTGACCCCTTTTAAGGGGAAACAACACGAGGTGAGCTACAAAGAAACACTGGGGAGATGCCATGAAGGGCAGCAATGGGCCATTTGCGTGCACGTATATTCGCCTTTTTGGCTTACATAGCCTTACGTAGACCAAGCATAAGTAGGCGGCCCTTTGCCAATATGTTTGGGTATAGTCCGCTTTGCCAGGTTTTGATTGACTCAGATTGGGTGTGTTTTTGTTTTGGCAGCACCCTGTTGTTGCTTTTATCCTTGTGGTTTCCCTTTAAAACCAACACACGCACACTCACACATGCACACACGATTGTACCAGTTGCAGTTTCAGACATGCGAACGTGGGCGTTTGGCTTCACTCGCTGATCCGGAAAGCTCCTTACCGCACCTCGAAAAACCTCATGCGGTTTGTAGCCGCGGACGCATACGGCGGCAACCCAACCGTCCACATGGGTGTCTCCCATCCCGAAGAAGAACAAAACACCGGTTTCTTATGTTTTCTTGCTATAAGGGGCTGAATAGAGTTACTGGAGCAATTGTTCATGTAATTATGACTAAGTGTTGTTTTGAAACGACCCCACGACCCCATGCTATTATGTTGCTTCCGTGCGGGAAATTACAATGTCCTGCCAAAAGTGGATAGCAATTCTGGCAGCAATAGAGTAGCGGCAACCTATCGATAGACACACTAGACGTCCTTTTCTAGAAGGGTTCCAAAAGGGCACATGGACTTGATGTCCCAAACTTGGACTCTCAGACTCTCATATTGAAGCCACTCTTGGAAGCCACTCAGAGGTCCCCTTCAGTTTGGATTCCGCCAACGTCCGAAGTAAAGCTCACAGTTCCTGTAGGCTGCTTGTTGGAGGCAATTACTTCCATTTGCTTGATAATGTGTATATATATATATATTCATTCATTTATTATTATTATCCCTTGTTCATTTTAAAAGGAACTTCTCTTTACAGACTTTTTTTCCAGAGGTTTTACCCAAATGGAAGAACAGGTTCGTTTCTCTGTCATCAATCCAGAAGTAACCCACGCAGAAAGATGCTTGGGGAGCAGCAGTTTGGCCATGTTTCTCAAACGGAGTCCTGAAACATCTCGCTCGGGTTCCTTGCCCCCATCGAAAGAATGGCAAGGACCCAATTGAGATGACAACGCTTAGACAAAACAATGGTTGTATGAACCCCCATTTTTTTTGTCTGATGCTTTGAATCCTAGAGATATTTGGATACTTGGGTCAAGAACCCTTGGCCTGAGCAAAAGATCAACTTGGGATTCTTTTTGACACGAAGAGTAGCTTTGCACTCACCGGATGCGCGCCGGATGTGGCCATGGCGCTCGGAAAAGCGCGCCCGGAGAGGACGCATGGCCCGCCATTTGGAGCGCGTTGAGTCATTTTATGTGGAGCCTTGCGGAATTCAAGATTCAAAATTGGAGTTTTGAGAATCTTGAATCCAGAAATGCATTGGAGGCGTTAAAGCATGTTACTTGCAGCGCTACGGATTCAAGATTCAACATGAGAGTACGGATAATGTGAATCTTGAATCCAAAAGTGCGTTAAAGTGTGGTACAACGGTGACTGTGCAGATACAGTCACCGTCAAGTGTGCAGATGCTAGCACTGTTACATGCTGGAATTCGGGTGCCTGAGCAAAGAGCTGAATGTTTGTGTTGCCAGCGTGTCTTTCTTAAGCACTGTGTAATCGGGGACGGTATAATGTCCCTGTCTGAACAACAAGCGCTGCAATACCTCGCAAATTCCTCGGATGGTTGTTGTACTTGCTCTTCTTGGCCATTGTGTTGTTTTTTGTTGAGTGGGGCTAGCTAGTATAGACATATATCTATACATACATATGCACATGTATGCACATATGCATATGTATGCACACACATGTCGTGTGTGGCGAGATTCGGCAGGCCGAAATACTGCCGGTCAAGTTCCGCTTTGCGCCCCACTCTGGGCCCCACTCTGGGCACGGGTCAAATTGAGGTTCTCTCAAACGGGACTCCGTTTTGTTGGTAGCAGAGGGCAGGCGTTTTAGGGCTCCCCGGTTGGAGAAACACCCCTAGCCATTCCAGGGGTTCGGTTTGGATGTACTTCGGGGCGAACAAGCGCATCCAAACCGGTTTCTAGACCCATACTTGATAGGGGTACCTTTATTTCCATTCCTGGCAATAAGGGACAAGGGCTGGTTGAAAAGAACGCTGGTTGAAAAGAATGGGAAATCAACCCGTAGAACACTTGGCAGGGCTGGGTTTTGTCCGTAGCCATGCCCCCACTTGGGGGGACTTGCAACCAGAATGCAGCAGATCTCAGCCACATCAACAGTTTTACTAGCTTCCTGGAGTCTCCATGAGCCTTTAGAAATGGGGTCAGTACCCAAAATTCAGGGGTTATGACCCCTTTTCATGGTTGTTGTTGGGAAACATTTTACATTTTTGCTTATTGTGGTGTAGTGGTTGAAATCCCCACTTAACTGCTAAAACTGTTTTTTTTCTCCCCTTTCAACGTCAACCAAGTTATGACCCCTTTTTCCAGGCGTCATGGAGACACTAGTTCCCGGGTACCCTCACAGGGCTGGGCTTCAGAGAGATCGCAGACTTCCGTTGACCTGCGGAACTCCATGAAGGCTTCCTCTAAGGGAGACCTGTTTGAGGTGGTGTGAACAGTGGTTTGACCACTGTGGATGCACGAGATCCATTTCGCACCACCTAAGAAACCCTAGAATGATATATGATCACCTGCAAATACCAACAAACAATGGTTTCCCATGGTGTCTTGGGTGGTGCAGGATTGTGTCCATCCACAAAGCTGACAGAAATGCAGACTTAGGGGCCCCCAAGACGCCTCCCTTGCTGGAAGCGTAAGTCTGTGTGCACCTTGTAAACTTCCAAATGGGTCCACACACACACATACAGTGCCGAAGTGAACATGTCCAAATCGCACCTTGAGTTTCCCTCTTGGTGTGTGTGTTTGGTTTTCCTTGCTTGGCAGTCCCTGCCACACTCCTAAACGGTTATTCCGCTAAGAAACTCAACTGTTAGCCAGGGAAGTGTGGTGTCCCTTCAAGCCACCCGAGCGAATCCAGGACGTCCTTGCTGCTGGCGCTGCTGTCGCAGGCGAACAAAAACAAACAGCGCAACGACCAGATCTTCCGATGCCGGCGGCTTGGTTTGTCTTCAGATAAGGCACAATCAAGACCCGGGGAAGTGCAGCTTGGTCGGGGACAGTGCCAAAACCCTAAATGTACGCCGCGGCCCTTTTGCTTCTTGGCGCATCCCTTTTTTTTAGGGGGGGGCGGTTGAGAGGGAGTCCATTTTTGGTGGTGGCACCCTTGGGACTGGCAAAGGAGACGGGGCCCGGTGAAAGCCTTCGGAAGGTTTTGGGTGGTGCCCTGTGTGCTCTTCGTTCGGAGGGCGGTTCTCTTAACACAAAAATTACCTGAGCCCTCTCAAATTCCCTGAACAGTTGGTTAACTACCCCAACATTATGGGGTGAATTCCCATTTTTGCGGGTAGTTTGAGGGTCCAGGTACCAAAAAGGAGTCCCCTTTTTTTCCCGTGACACGGGGTGTTGGGTCTAAGAGATACAGCGGTTCCTTTTGCAGGCAGGGTTTCATCTTGGGGCGCCCTCAAGGCTATTTTGGGGCAGGTGAGGTCCGGTCGAAATAGCCAGTTGAAACGGCATATGTTTAGTATCTTGAGATCATAGTTGGACCGCTGCATGTTTTAGGAATCAGCAAAAACCCAACAAAAGCAGCTGGTGCTTGAAAAGAACGCTGGTTGAAAAGAGATCAGTTGGGATCAGCGACTAGAATCATGTAACATGACCAAATCAAGAGAGGATTTGGCTTCAAGCGTGTGGCTATCGAATGGTTGAGGTTCCATGTTTGTCTTACTCTCAGGGCTGAAAGCCTAGTCCTCGAAACGGAGATCAAAAGTGGCTGTGTGCCTTCCAGCGAATCGGCCCTAAAAAATAGCGGGCACCTTTCCGCAACCATGCGGACATGGTTGTGGAAAGTAACACAATTCTGTGATTGTGCCAAAGTGGTTGGTTCCCATCCCACTAGCTGAAGCCTCATACAACAAGCATCCCTTTTTTGAGGGTTTGAGAACTTAGGTAGGTTCCTTTTCGGTTTCTTCCTGGCGCGTTTTAAACGACGGCAGGCCATTGCCGCGCCGGCCGCGCCCTCAATAGATGGGTGCTGGGTCCTGCAAAGTGACGTCTTTGACGCCTCGAAATGAAGGGAAACTGGGCACCAAATCCTCAAGATGTTCGCTTTCAGTGACCCACAGGCTCCGCTAACAGGGAGAATTGGATAAGCACAGACCCATACTAGTTGGAACCCCGGATTAAGAGTTCTTGAACAAGCACATCTTTTTTCCTGAGTTTTAGAGCTTGGCGTGTCGTATTGTTTTTGTTTTCAACGACTGCCGGTTTTGCGGAGCTGGTTCTAAGAACCCCAGGATTGGACACAAGAGACTTAGCCACACGGTTTTTACTTTTTGTATGGTGCCCTCGGGCCAGGACTTTCATCTGCTCAGTTTGGGTCGAAGCGCGTCTTGGGCTCCTGACGCTAAGATCGGGAGAGGCAGTAACGGGGGTGCCCTGTGCATCTATTCTTTTTTGAAGAGCACTTCTATCACTCGAAGACGTCGGAAGCAACGCGCTTTGGCTTTGGGAGTTTTTGTTTAATCTTGAGAAGTGAGCTGGTTCATCAGGGGAGAAGTCTAGTGAAGTTTCACTCAATTGCCCAGATTCGCTCGTCTTGGCATTTCCTAGTCATACCCTGTTAGAAGAGTTTAGAAGAGTTTATGACATATACCATTACAGTAGTTCCCACTACCGTGTAATGTGTTGCAAGGCGTCAGTGAAACAGTAAAATCATATGAGATAGTATACGTATAATTGCGTCTAGTCATGCGCATTTGTTTTCTCCCTCTTTCGGGGTTCTTTCTTCACATCACCCATGAAGGGAGCATGCTTTGCTCCACTTCGCCAGACCTAGAGGGTCCCTTGATGCCTCATATTTTTGCGGATTTTTGAGGAATCTGGAATTGACGAATCCCCGTTTTCACCAAACCCAAAGCCATAAATCTGGGGTACTTAGGGACCCTCTGGGAGAAAGTCCAAAACCATTTTTCCAGACCCCCCCCCTTCACCACCTCCCCTCCCCCCCCTCCCCCCTCCTCCCGCCCCCCCCCCTTGTTCCGCCACCTCCCCCTCCCCCTCCTTCCCCCCTTCCTCCCACCTCCCATCCGCAAGTTCCTCTCGACGGGGACGCGTAGGCGGGGTTTCGGGAAGCCTCGCTGGGCGCCTTCCTGCAGCAGAGCTACGGCGCGGCCTTCGGGGTGCTCCTCGGCGTAGGAGCGGAGGGCTGTGACCGGATTGGGGGGTCGATGGGGTCCATGTCCATGGGGTCCGGCTGGAGGAAGTGCCTGACACACTGAAATTGCCTGGGGGGGGGGGGGTTGGGGGTGTGGGGGGGGGGGCTTGGGGTGGGGGGGGTGGGGTCAAAGGAGGGGTCCGGGTACAAAGTAACACTGAAACACTGAAACACTGAAAAGCATCGCCAGCCTGAAGCCTGAAGCCTTGGGAGATGGAGGGGGATGACCCTCGGATTTGTTTTTTGTCCGTTTTTCTCCCATGAATCTATGGTTAACCCCCACCCTGAATACAGATATGGTTCATGTAGATTCATGGTTCATGTATACCTAGAACTTCCTGCGGCAAAAATTTCTGCCGCAACGCATTGCGGCGGAAATTCCCGCCGCATTCCAAAAAATCAGCCACAAACCAAAAAAGCGCCGCAACCAAAACAAAAACGCCGCAACGCCGTTTGCTTTCCGGGAAATTCCGCCGCATTCCCGCCGATTTCCGCCGCATTCCCGCCGATTTCCGCCGCAAATCGGGGGGTAGAAAAAACTGAAAACAAATTCTGCCGCAATTCTAAAAAAACGCTGCAAATCAGGAAGAAATGCCGCAAATCCAAAAAGGCCCTTTTTTTGATTTGCGGCAGAAATTTATGCCGCAACGAATCTCTAGGTATGGATTACCCCCACCCTCCCAAGGAACAGAAGACCCCCCCCCCCTCCCACGCGTGTCCGAGGTCGCTCTCTTGTCGTGTTCTTGTCGCCATATTATTGGGACCCCGCCCGCTTGAAAGGCGGAAGGAAACTGCTCCCTCGGAAGCGGACTCCAGCTTGAAATCGGCGTTTGGAATACTTCCCTTAACTTCACTGTTATCCGGCGCACAAAGATTCCAGTTGGTTTGATTGATCGGTTTCCTCTAAGTAGCACTGGGTGCCAAATAGCCATGGTATGTTGATGTCCCAAAAGGAAATAAAAAAGCGGATCAGGGGACAAGTGTTATGTTTGCAGGCCGTCTATTCATCACGCCTGACTTAGGGACAGCTCGTTTTTTTTTTTTTTGGTTATAACCAAGTTGGCACCTGAGTTGTCGTCAAGATGCGCTTTGCGGTCAAGACTTTGCCACAATCGGCCAACAGTCGAGACCCCAACCTTCGAAAATTGGCGTGTGGGTGTGTGTGTGTGTGTCAAGATCAGCAGCTTCCCAAATGCGTAGTTGTGCTTTTGATTTTCCTTTCAACTCGCCTTGACGTGTACCAACTCCAAAAGGCACATTCCCAATAAGGGTGTGGGTGTTTGGAGTTGGTACATTTTCAACTTGGTTTAAAGGGAAACCAACTAGGCGTATCCTTTTTTGGAGGGGACCCCAAAGTGGTGTATCCTCTTTTTTTTTTTCTCTCTCTCTCTCCCTCTCTCTCCCGCCTTTTGGTTTCCCTTTAAACCCAACCCACAGTGGGGCACTCCCCAACAAAACCAACCGCAAATGGGAAAAAACCGCCACGTTTCGGGTCCCCCAATGTTGACACACACTGTGGATGGACGAAACCCTGCACCACTTTGAAGCCATGGTAACCATGGTTGAACCCCTTGCTAACGTTGGTATTTACAGGCGAATGGAATCATTCCAGGGTTTCTGAACGGTGGCGCGTTTGATGGATTTCGCAACCATCCGCAGTATGTGTCAACATTGTTGGACCCCAAACCTGGCGTTGTTGTTGTTTCCCATGTGCGGTCGTTTTATTTCGGGTATGGGAAGAAGCTGGTACAGTAGTGATGATTTTTCAGTAGACCCAGACATGGACATTGTGTATTGATAAACTGGTTGGTTGATCCAATGGTACCGTTTTGGGGTAGGTGCACCACCCATTTTAGTCTATTTGGGTGGAGATTGAGATGTTCACTGCGGGTACGATTTGGATTTTGACCCATGGCCATATGAGGTCAACTTTAGCTCAAACGGCCCCCTTCTCACCGTTTCGTTGGTCAGGAGAGGGCGCCAGAGCGCGTCAGCTCCTGGCAGCCTGGCCGTGCCTCCGAAGAAACAAATCAACGGGGGGTGGTCGCGGGGCCATGGTCGAAAGGTCCCTTTACTTGGCTTCCCGTTCCCAACTGCCCAGTGGTGCCTCTTTTTTTTTGGGGGGGAAGGGTTTACTTTAAACTCGACCAACCAACAGAAGGATGCCCTTTTCTTCTCCTGGCCACTGGGCATCTGAGCGTTGCGTAATCAATATGCAATCAAAATTAGTCCCCCACCAGGAGATGGGCCGCAGGATTTCGTCCTTGCTTCCGTTTACCAGGGTTCCATTTCGTGTACCTACGTTTGACCCACATGTTGCTGAAGTTGGTTTCCAGCCATCTGCTAGGTTTTTAGTTGTTGGTAGTTGGTTGAGTGGCTGGGTTTCCATTTGACCCACAAGTTGAACTTCGAGCGGATCTGAGGACAGCCCCGTGAAGAATATGTTTTAAGCCCCCTTGGTCCAAATGGAATCTATCACTTGAGGTATGTGTATTTTTACAGACTTACGCAAATGACCCCCTTTACTTGGCTTTCATTTGCTTAGAATTATGTTTAATTGTCCCCTTCCAAAGGGAATCTGCTTTCCAGACTTCAGCAAGTGGAGATCATCCAACATGTGGGTGCGTGTTTTATTTGAGGGTACCCTTTTTGAGATCATCTAAAGGAAATCAAAAGGGAAACTAAGTTTTGGGGTCCCCGATTTCAGACACACCTAGTTTTTCGGACATATGTTTATGTTTTTGCAGGGAACTTGAGCAAATGGCGGTGATCCACTAAGGGGCCCCTTACAAATGGAATTGGGGGAGGCGGGTGACCCTTGGAATGTCATTCATGATTCCATCTCTTTTCTAGAAGACTGAAACATGGAATTGGGGACCCCCCACCCCCACCAAACTCCCAGAAAAGTCATCCATGAAAAAGTCATCCACGAAAAAGTACTTAAGGAACAAAAAAAGGGGAAAAAAAAAACAACAACACCAACAACACGACAACTCCAAACTCCCAGAACAAGTCATCCATGAAAAAAACACGCAACCTCCAAACTCCCAGAACAAGTCATCCATGATAACTCCCAGAACAAGTCATCCATGACAAAGCACGAACCTCCCCAGGTAATTGGATCTTGCGCCTCTTTGTTCAGGCACGAAGTTGACTGACTGCCAGGTCTCTCGTGCGTATCGGAACCCTCAGAAGTTGGGGATTTGAAGGTCTGGCGGCGATGCCAGGGCTCAAGATGCATTTCTTTGCATGGGTAGACCATGTTCATTGTTCATTCTGTTGACCCCAGAATCCACTCATGGAGGGTGTGTGTTCCCCTCCAAAAGTGGTCTGAATCACAAGCCCAGGAACACCTCCTTGTTAACAAACTGGGGCAAATTCTTCCGGGGTCAACATTAGGTTTTGACGCCCAGATTGAATGAACAACCTCTGTGGTGGATTTGGGTGTTCTTGGTGAATGCGGGTGACGCCCAGTCACGTGAACCTTTGGCGGGCGCTGCCATTCAATTTCATCGGTTTGCCATCCCTGGTGCTGCGGCTAGGGGTGGTCATCAAGACTCTTTCTATAGAAGTTTTGTGTTTTTCCTTTTGGATTACCCTTAAGAACGACCAAAAGGGGGTACCCTAAGAAAAGACCCCCCTTGTTGTTCTGTTCTTGGTGCTTTTGTTTAGTCATAGGTTGATTGTTTGCTTTTCGGCACTGTTCTTTCCTTTTTGTTTTGGGGGGGCTGCAAACAAAATGCAGCATGCTGCTCGCATACCAGCAGGGTGTCTGATATTCGGAACCTTGCCCTTTCCGTAAATGACTATTGATTGCGAAGGCCTTGTAACATGCTTGCGAAAACGCTGGTTTCAAGCCCATTTCTGTGGCAAAGTGGTGACTCACCTTCAATATGACAAGGTAGGACAGTATCACAGTATCATATAATAGGTGACAGTCGATTCCACAACTTGCACTCCGGGGGCTTGGAAGATGACTGAGACTTGCGGTTTGTTCCCCCTGCTTTTGGACGGTCCGAAAACCGTTCAAGAACGAGTACCAAACTAAGTTCCTTTTTCACGGTCATGGCTTCCTATCTGTGGGGTCTACATTTTACATGCCGTGAAGTGGCGAATCCCACCAAGTCTCGCTCCTTTCGCACGCTGAAAGACGGGGGGAACTTATGCGTAAGGATCCCCTGTCAAGCAAAGCACGGGGGATCCACAAATTTCGCTGTCAAACCCGGACGGTTTAACGGCAAATGAAACGATATCCACGCCGTGTGTGGGGGTGTGTGGGGGTGTGTGGGGGTGTGTGGTGGGGCGCCCCTTCTCGTTTGAGACCTACCCCAATGGGGTTTCCCTGCCCGAAACCGCCGAAAGCCGAGGCAGGGGGTGCTGTTTCTGGTCGACCCCTACATCCACCTAAGGCGAGGCTACGAGCGGCCCGCGAGCCACGGCAAAAGTGGGCCTCGAGTCGCGAGTCGGACCTCTCAACCCTCAGAAATGGAATGACCACGAGGACAACCATCCAACCTATCGTTTCCCGGAACGGTTCATTCCCCAGACCCTGACTCGGTCATTCCCTACTCAGGACCAGCTAGACAAATCGCTCTTTTCCGTCAACCCTACAAGTAAGCGACTTGTTGCTTGTTCGAGCAGGCTTGGATCAACCCAGAGCCCACCTTTCAAATGACAAGATGTTTCCCGAGTTGCTTGTTTTTTTGGAGGGTACCCTTTTCAGGTCCATAGATTTACCTTGGTTTTAAACATCGTTTGCTAGCAAAGGTTGAGACGATGTGCCACCAACCTTCTTCTTCACGTCCCGGAATATGGTTTTGTCATAGGGTGAGTGGTTTCCCTGTTTCGCTCTGAAAAGCACTCCCCAAACGGGGAATTCTCAAACAACGCCCCCTAGGTCCCCCAGTAGGGCCCTTTTAAACCCTTGTTCGCCCACTAACATAGACTACAGAAAAAGGATGGTACCCTTATTCTACCCTCTCTACTGGAGGACCTAGCCCCACTGCTTGTTGGGTGTTTTGACAACTGGGAAGGAGCAATAAGATGGACATCCGTTCGGAGGGGGCTCTCCTGGGTCATTTGGTATCACTTGCCCTAAGGCCCTAAGGGTCCTTGGGTGTGTTCCGGTACCACACTCGGAATTATTGAAACGGGGTGTCAACAGAACCTATTTTGAGGCGGCTCCAAAAGGATGGCAGAGTTTCATGCTACTCACCGGTTTTTAGTTGTGACAGGCGCTTGACTTTTCCAACTTTGGTTTCTACATGGTCTGGCTTAACTCTCAGCCAGTGACTGGCAGGACAGCAGAGTTGAACAGTGACGTGGATTTGCCCATGGGGAAGGAGCCGCTAAGGAGCCTCCGTTATGGGTTTTGAGGGGCTCCTCCAGGTTTTCGTTGCGGCCATCCGAGGAACTGGGATGACAGCGCCCACCAAAGGGCCTACGACGATTTGCGCAGCTCAGCGAGTCTCTTGAGATCCGGCGACCGCATGAATCAGGGAAACCAACTAGCAGGGATACAGAGGGAACCAGGGATGCGGGAGGATTCCCCCTAAATGCACCTTGACTAGGTTTGAAAAACGGGAAGTGGCGCCAAGTTGGAATCCATATCCCCATATCGGGACCCGCTCTCTCTGTATCCATATCCGCGGAAGTTCGTTCCAAATGAAACTCTGGGACCTGGGCACCTCACATGGAACCTGCGGGAAGACCACTGCTCCGCAAGGAGCACGGCTCCAGAAAACTTCATAAAGCTTCCGGCAAAAGGCGAGCATTTGGATGTTTGGCGCATCGGCACACCAAGCCTCAAGATCTGAACCTGCAGATTCATGCAGAGTTGGGAATGTGCATGTATGTTCTGTCTATGCTCAGGAAGCAGGATGAAGCAGGTTACGCCCCCTTGCCCGTTTTTGACATTTACGTTGTAGGTTTGATGTGTTTCCCAGTGCATTTGAGTTAAACTGCACATCAGTTCCTGACCGATAAATGTGTCATACATCCTGTTTTTCAGAGACACCTCAAGACCTCACGCCCGCAAGGGCGCCGTCTTGTGCCGAGATATGCCGAGACATGCCGAGGCAACCGTTTGCACGACGACCACAGCGTGCAGGGGCGCTACTCTTTCGTGCGCCTGGGCTGGAACAAGCACGAAGGGATCGTCCCCAAACGCATCCCCCTGCAGGTTAGCGAGGGAGCTCAAAAAGGGTGCTTGCTTCTCAGGGAATTCAAATCTCTAAATACAAAGGGTTTGTTGGGTTGCATGTTACTCCCTAGATCAACATGGAACCAAGAAAATATCGATTTGTAGAGGGAACTCCTTTTGGGAATCGGACCTCCCTGTTGGTTCCTTCCGTTAATTGTACGGGAGTAATCTGCAGGCGTGTATTCCCACATCCGAAGTTACCCTTGAAGCAAGGATTGACCCCATGGTCGCTGGGAAAGCAATGCTTTCTTTGATCTGCAAACCCATGAAAAAGGGTTTGTTTTAAGATTAGGCAACCTCAACAATGGTGGTCGTCCTTCAGGTGTCCGCTTAAAACCAACCAAGGTCCCCCCCCTCAAAAAGAAGAAGTTAGGATCTGCGATTGAAGCAAGTGCTGCTGCATTTGAACAGTGTATTGTCAGGGGTGTTGATGCCGGCGTGGCTCTATTTGGCCGAGAATTTCGATTCTAGGCATCACCGGTTTTGGCAGCGCGATTGTGGCCAGAAGCCCCCCCTTTGCTGACTAGTTGTTCTCCTGACTTCCTGAGCTCCTGGGCTTGAAGCTTTTTGGGAAGACCATCTTAGTGGTAAATAAACAGTTTTGATTTTTTGTTTGCTATCCGCTCGCGAAGTGAGTCTCAGTTGTCCGTGGGCATCAACTCTAGGGATTCTTAAAGGAATCGAGACAAATCTCGCGGGAGCTTCCCACTGAGAACTCTGTTTGAGGCTTTTCTGTTTGGCTTACTTGTGTCCGATTTGTGCTCGGGTTCTGAAACTTGCAACTTGCACCCCACATGTGGCCCAGTCTCCCCGTGTCCACTAGCACCCAGTCTCTTTCCAACGGTAAACAAGTCCCTGAGACAGAGGTGGTTTCTTCAATTCCTGCATGTGGCGCTGTTTTTTGGTTGTTTTGAGGACCGCCTTTTTGGGTGGTTTTCCTTTTGGGTGTCCGTTTTGAAATCAGGCAACAAGGGCCCTCAGCGAAACGACACATCTAGTTCGGATGTCCCCTGGGTCCCTTTTCTCAACTTGACGAGTTCGAGGGCCGGGGAGTCAAGAGGGAGTGTTCGAGGTGCCGATTTTGCTAAGCACCCATTCGGAGGGGAACTGAGGTGACCCAACAAATCTTGCCAATTTGAGTGGGGAACTGAGGGGAGCTGAGGGAATTTTGCTAATTTTTGCGAGGTGACCCAACAAATCTGTTCGCCATCCGGAGGGGAAATGAATCGGGTCCTCAAAGTGATGCTCCAAACTGATGGGGTCTTGACTGCCATTGGGTTGGATCTTTAGACTTTAACTGTTTTGGAAACAATGGAGTTTTCCACTAAACCCCCAAAAAGTTAAACTTTTTGCAGGGGGGTCAACAGCAACCAAGGCGTGATGTGCTTCTTTTTGCAGGGCACCTGGTGTCTCCACCCTTGAACAATGGGATCACGCAAACAAAAGCCATGGCCCCACTGTTGAATGGAGACTCCTGGACCAATGGCTTCGGTGTTCCTTCTGGCTTTGCTTGAAAAACCAAAGAAGGGGCACCAAACATGGCTTTGGTTCTGTCTTCCTTTAAACGCCACCAAAGAAAGGGCCACCAACTCCAAAAAAAGCAACAATGGCGGTGTTCCTTTTGGCTTTCCGTGGAAAACCACCAAAGAAAGGGCTACCAACTAAAAAAACAACGGGAAACACCCCCAGGCAGTTCTTTCGGGAAGGCCAATCCCATATCCGGGACAATCCGCCATCGGCTGAGGCGGGAGTTCTCCTTCTCGGTACCGCAGATCTGGGCAGACAAAAAGTGGGGCTCGGAGCTCAGGTTGGCCGAAGCTGGGACTATAAAACCAACATGTGTTTTGTCATGTTGTCCAAAAGGAAGCCAACATGGGATATCATGGGATGGCTATGTTGCTGTTATTATCATTGTCATTTATCATTATTATTACTATTATTATTATTATTATTGTTTGTTTTATGGATCATTACTGTGTTGCTACAGATCTTGAACTGCTTTGTCATCGTAGCTACTAGTGATAGTTGGTATAATTATTGATGTATTGTTAGTGTGATTGTTGTTGCTATTATGATGATTATGCTTATTTGTATCATTGTGGTGGTGTTCACTACTATGGTTATTGCTTTTATTGTACGATTCTCGAGTTCTCGGCCCGAGCCTACCAGGGGTAGAACTGTTCAGCTGAAGATCGGGAGACCCTTTTGTCCGGCAATGGATTCATCGATTTTTGGAGCCCTCCCATTACGAGATGGTGAGCTGGCATTTGGGGTTTTCGACATCGTGCCGACCGACCAGCACGGTATTTGCAAAGGGCGACGCATTCCGGATGGGCGCGAGGTTACAATCCACGCTACAGATTTGGGATGCGGACGCTTTACATTGTACAATTTCCGGACTGGCCTCAGTGGTACACATCTTTTTGACACCAGCACCTCCTGGCACAGGCAAGCGGAAATCAGGATGGGATCTTTTTCGCCTACGGTTGTTGAGATCTGCGCCGGTTTTGGCGGTATGGGCATCGGTACCAGCTTCATGGGAGGCCGTACAGTGTTGAGTATTGACCACAATGACTTGTCGGTCAAGCATCTCACTGGCAACGCCGCTGGCAACACTATCAAGATCGACATCAACAATCCGGATGCTGCTTATAGAATTCACAAGGTTTGTCCCCCTGGTTCCCATACAGCCGTGCTGGGATTTCCTTGTCAGCCTTATTCGCAGCAGGGGCGTCAGCTTGGCATGATGGATCCTCGATCCAAAACCATGTGGAGCGGTCTGCACCTGGCATTCATGCTGCAGTGTCAGGCGATGCTCCTTGAGTGTGTTGCTGCTGCAGGAAAACATCCGACCATCCAGCGGGCCATTCACTCGCTGGCTGAAGCAATGCAATGGCGGGTTCTACAGACAAATCTGGAGCTTTCCCATCAGTGGCCATGCCGACGACACCGATGGTGGGCTATTCTTCTCCCGCACACTTGGTGCACCACAGGAATCAGGCCGTGGCCACGATCAGAAACCTTTCCTACTGTTGGGTCCATCATGGGAACCTTCAAATGCTGGGATGAGGATGATACCAACCACCTCAAGCTGACCCACAGCGAATTGTCCATGTATCAGAACCCCCGAGCTGGGTCCGACAAACGACTGCTGGAACTTGGAGATGTGGCACCCACCATCCTGCACTCGTACGCAAATGCGACCATGGGCTGCCCTTGCAAATGCCGACTGCAGGGATTCTCCACCCACAGCATCAATACCAAAGGTCTCCGTGGTTTTTACGTGAGTGATGCTTCGGACGGAACCCTTCGATTTTTACATCATCGGGAAGCCGCTCTGATCCTACGCATTCCAGACAACGTCAACTACAGCCACCCACCAAGGGACAACCTTTGCCTACTTGGGCTGGTGGCCTCGCCACTACAGACCATCTGGATGTACTCCACCCTGATCGAGAACTGTGCCCAGATTGACCTTTGCCTGCCCAAGATCAAACCTGAGGTTGCGATTCGGATGTATCAGGAGTACGTCCTGAAGATTTGGCACCACCACCAGCCAGCGCGGGCTATCCCTACACACGCCATCTCCATTCACTGCGCAGACGGCCCCTCACTACGCATCACCGGACACTGCCCTCTCCTTGCAGGCCAACTCTACACCGCCGAGCGCATCAACTATGAATGGGGCACAAAGTTGACCGTGCAAGTTGGGAAAGAACCTTGCCATCCTTTGACCACCCTTCACTCGGACAAGCACCTGTCGATCGAGCACAAAACCAAGCGACAGAAGTGTGATGCCCCCACCAATCCAGTCCTGGTCCGACTACTCCAATGTGGACACGCATTCGAGCAATCTCTTGCCCCGGGGAGCTTCATCTTTGAGGCCATCAATCAACTGCCAGTTGAATCCACCAATCTTGTCATCGATGAGCAGGGCATCCTCCACGGCAGTGACACACGAATCTGGCAACACTCCACCTTCCAGCTTGTTGACGCTGATCAACCCGGCATTCCACGTTCATTACTCACTGGAAGCGGCTCTACAGATTCATCTTCAGGCCTCAGCGACTCACAGATCTGGTACGGCACCTTGATGCTACTCCAGTATGTACCACCCGACTTCCACTCTGACCTCATTGTCATCCACCCCTTGCTCGCCCTTTCACTGCTGCGGCCTTCTGAGGCAACGCCACAATCTGTTACCAGCCCCTTCCGAAGGCTCTACATTGATGAGGCCATCATCGTTTGCATCTTTTACTCCTCGAATCATTGGGCCCTACTATGTGGCAAAGTATGTGGTGTGCAAGTCCACTGGCAGTATCTCGACGGTCTTGACGACAGACATCAAACTACCGCTGAAGACTACGCAAGATCAATCTGCCACTTCTTCGGGCTCGAACACCATGGAGCACATTTTGGATCTCTGGTGCCACAAACGCGTGACTGGACCTGTGGATCTACAGCCTTGGCAAACCTTGCACTTTACCTTGGCATCCATGTCCCTGACCTCCTAACCGAGACTGACCTCCTTCATCAATTCCTTTGGGATCAAGCACCTCGAGAGGGAACTTGCTGGGACTCTGGACCGGAATCAGCCGGTCAATCATTGCTTCAACAACTTTCGGACCTGCTCCAAGCCAAAGGAGTACCACCAGAAGCATCACGCACCCGGGCACAACAAGCTCTTGACATGATCGGCAAGTCAGAGGTGCAGAAAGCCATGCGATCCAAGCAAGTTTGGACTGAGCTCAAAGCACTTGCTAGTGCGCCCCGTATCATGCTCCGACTCGTACTACCCTCCGAGCTCAGCGAGCACACCAAGCTGCAAGCGGCCAACAAATTCGGAGCTGATGTCTCGATCAGCACCAAGAAGAAACACAAGAAGGACAAGCCCCCTGTGCCAACCAATCTTCGAGTCGACCCTGCAGAGCTTGAACTCTATGAAGGACTCTTTATCGATGCCAACAAGGTCACGGTCCCGAACATCCCTTTCGATGCGGTCACCGCCGACACAAGGGGCATAGCAGTCTGCACAGGAGCACAGGCTCTGCCGTATATCACCGCTGGTCGTCATATTAGCACTGAGGCTTTGGCTTTAGCACTGGTTGACATGCCGGATCCGGAGCACTACACAGCAGGTGCTGTTCAGCCTGCATATTTCCCCGCGAAATTCATTGGCACTGGTGAGCCGATCCTGCTATCAGGCGGAATCTTTCAGCTTGGCGACATCCGGGTTGAACGCAAGGGAACGACTCTGCTCCAATCCCCGGACATTGTCAACACTCAAGTCCTTCGCGTGCAGGCTTACAGTGACTTGCTGGACAACTGGCATGCTTTTATCCTCTCCCCCATCAAGGAGTTGACAATTTTGATGCCAGTTCTCAAACGCTGCGGAGACAAAGCCTGTCTCAATGGATCTTTTGCAGACTGCCCATATTCACACCCTGCCATCGATGCGGACTTCGACCAGGTCATTATGGAAATCTGGGCCAGAGGATTCTATACTGCAGATGGACGCAGGGCGGGTCCAACCGAGGCTTTCTCATTTGCTGCATTCCTTCGGGTACCGGTATCCACCATCAAGCCGATTCTCGCTCGCCAGCCAAAAGGGATCTTTTTCAAACCTCGTCTTGAGTCTCGACAAGGCCCTGACCCGGCCTACAAGATTATCTGGCTTCCAGGGCAAGACTTCAATGCCGCACAGCACCACTTCAAGACCTTGCCGAAAGCAATCTCAGTTGCAAGGCTGAAGCAGCGCTTTGGTATCCGAGTGCTTGCAAAAGATGAGGAGGCTGCATACAAACACCTCCGTCCGGACTCCACCTTCTCGGACATCATTCACTCGCGTACTTTTCAGCTCTTTCCACTTCCCCACGGTACACAGAAGTCAGCGATCGTTTCTATCCTGGAGCAATGGCAGTGGAAAGCTCGCCCTATCCAGCCTGGACGCGGCAATTCAACTGCCATGATGTGGGTTGTCGGTACCTCGGACGATCCCCCGGCCCAGGTCCTGCCCGGGCTCACAGGGGACATCCTTATCACGGAGGTCACGCAGCACAACCGGGCCCAACAACCATGCACGGTGATTGCATCCCGTAAGACTCAGAACCACATCCGCAAAGGCCATGGAGACGATGTTGCAGCTACCAGCTCTGAACGTTCCGATCCATGGCTTGATCCTCGCAAGGACCCTTGGGGCAATTCAAAGAAGCCAGCAGCCTCTAGCTCATCGGCACCTTCCATCACTCCGCATGGCACCAAGAGGTACGAAGAAATTGCACAGGAACTCCGTACCGAACTGCAGAAAGAAGTGCAGGCTTTGGCATCATCCCATGCTAACCCTGCCAACTCAGCTGCGGACACTCTCACTGAGCTCACTGAGCAGAGATTCCAAGCACTCGAATCCAGTGTCACGGAGATCAGAGCGCAGAACTCGAACTTCGCCCAGTACTTCAACCAGCTTGGAACCCAACAGCAAAACATGGAAGCTGCTATCGCACAGGTACAGCAGAAGGTGCATCAGAATCAACAGGACCTCCACGACCTGGGGCAATCAATCACTGGCCTCCGCAGCGACATCAATCATGATTTCAGCAGCCGCTTCGATGCCCTGGAATCCCTCCTGAGCAAGCGACTCAGGACGGAGCCGCCGCCACAGGGTTGACTTGCCCAATCCAGATCCAGATTGCGGCAGTCTGGATTGGTGGGAACTCTGCTATGTCGCACCTTCTTTTGGATATTTCTGCTTCTGCTCGGTATGATTCCTCGTGCTGCAGCACTACAACCTGCCGCAG